ATAACCTTGAGTAGTTTTCCCTATATGATTGAAGGCTGAGATTCCGGTTCTCAGGATTCACAAGCTGAATAAATCAGGAAAGATCTGTCTGTCTCTGACCTACAAGTATTTTTTGCTAGTTAAATTGAAGAGGATACATATAAAAAAGAATGTGCATTTTTCTTGACTATGTAAGAATTCTTAAAGTGAAGAGGGAAAAATTCCAACATTTTAGGATAATTTTTTGAAGACATTTTAAGTGAGCAGAAAACAAACTTTTGCATCGTCACAGAAGTGACCTGTGCTTAGCCCTTCTGAAGTTTACAGCCATTAAGCAAAGGATGCAAAAGACACTATACCTAAACCACGGCTCACCGTCAAGCTGCACGTGCTAGAAGTCTGTCGAAGCTTAAGAAAAAACACACCCACCCACATCTCCTAAACGATTTACCGTGCTTTACGCTCAATCTGACAATAGTAGAAGTAACATATTCCCTTAGTCGGCTCTAACGCCACTTGTGCTCTCACGAACGCACACACTACCAGATCACCCACAGAGCTTTGCGGCACGCAAGCGGTAGCTCACCGCAGGGAGGTCCTCACCCCGCAGCCAAGGAACCACCTCCACACTGACTGCGCTGTGGGCTACCATCAGAGTCACCTATAGGGCACTGTAGAGGAAAATTCAGGCCACGTCTTTGACTGCAGAAGTAGTTCAAGTCATTGACAGTCAGTGTTAACTCCTCTCAGGGTAGTCTGGTTTCAGAGGAAGCACCCATAAGCTCAGTGATTGGGTTGCTCAGTTTAGGGGAAATGTCCCAGTCAAGACTACGGCAAGGACAAGTCCCCCTCTCAAGGAGTGCTTTCACCCCCTACCTTGTGACACTGTCTCTGAGTCACCAGGACAACTACTGTCACTCAGAAAAGAAGGGGCGATAAAGCGGTGTTAGATATCTCATCAGTCAGCCTTTTCCTGGAAATGGAGTAGTTAAAAAAAAAAAAAAAATCCAAAAAAAAGAAGAACCCACAACTCAGGGTAATTCCTATCGAGGTTTAAATTGGGCTCAAGTAATTGAGGCTCCTTCTATTAAACAAAATTAAAAATCCCAGAGTTCAACACAGTAAATTTAAAAAGGACAGAGATAAATTTTTCTGCCCTAGAAAAAATGGCCCTCAGGCTCCCTAACTATTTGCTACAATACTCCTCAGTTGGCAAAGTGGAAAGCTGGCAGCCACCCAAGGTATTCAGACAAAGTATTGTAATTAGAAGCTACTTAGGGCACCATGAACCAAAATATATGCTAATAAAAACATCATTAACTAACTGGTGAAGAGACTCCTCTTAGGGGAGGGAATCTTTGCTAACAATAATGTTAATTGTCATGCATTTAAGTCCTGAAGTCCACAGCAACAATTTAAAGCTGATGGGGAAAAAGTGAGATGGGGGGTGGGGGGGGAAAAGTGACATTTGGAAAAACAGTCGGGTGGAGGGAAGGTGGCTCTGAGAAACAGAATGAAGCGAGCTTGCCTGATAGCACGCCAACACAAAGCAACTGGGACTGCAGAGACCAGTACTTAGGCACATGAAAGTAGGAGGGCTTTGCTAAGTGTGCTGCCTGTTTAAGGTTCTCCCTGCCCAAAAAAAAGGGAAAAGTGAAAACAAGATAAAGAGATTAAGAAGCACTCTCCTTTTGTAATCAAGTACAATGTGAGTTTTCCACAGCCAGGGCTGCTGGAGAGCCACATACCCCTCTCCGGGGTCTCCTCCGGGAAGCACGCTGAGCATTCGCTCCCACCGAGCCTATGATAGAAACACTTCTGATCCCCATTTTCTGCTGCATTATTGTCATTCTGCAGAAGTGACGTTTGCTCGTTATTTCCCACAAAATGGCAATTCTGGTTCCTTCTCTTACTCTGCCTACAATTCCGAGTTTCCTAACACAAAAGAAATAAAATATTATATCTGTTATCCATATGAATCAGAAGTTATCTGTTCTCCACGATCAACCTCTGACTGGTTGGCCTGTATATTAAGGTTCTTCAGCTAACTCAGGTGTTCCTACAAGCTTTTAAACCCAACAACAGCCAGCATTTCCAAAGGCTTGCAACATTACAAGTGGCTATCCAAAAGTTGATTTAACACCTCAAGGGGGTGCTGAGTGCTTCCAGCTGGCTTCTCTGAGCACCCAGGACATGGCTCCTTTTCAGAAGCAGCCACATGAATTTCCACTTTCTCCCAGCTGACTGAAGGCGGCCAGGAGGCACACTGGAGCACTGCTTAAATAAGGGCTTGCAACTAAGAAATTTAAGAGTCGTTTCTCTACACTCTCCAAGCTGGCAGCTTCCCAGTTTGCTGCCCAGAGAAACTCATGAAAAAGGAGAAACTCATGAATGAGGAGCACAGAAGTGCTGTTGCTGCTGTTTCCGTCTGCCCGCTCTACCATGGCTAAGGTCTGAGCTAAACTTTCACGGCATAAGTAAGGCTTCGGTTAAATCTCACCCACGTCTCTTCTGCTGTGAAGGCTCCATACCTGCACGTAGACACAGCAACAGCTGGGGAAGCACAGAGTGCCCTGGGTCCAGAATAAACACCTGCAAGCCCTATGCTTGGCTTTGCATTTAGGAGAACGAAGCCAAACAAAGGCAATGTTGAAGGAGCAGGAAGTCCCCAACACTGCTACCAGCAGCACAGACAACAGGGGCACTGACAGAACTTCCAGACTTTACCAGTGGAACATAAAGCCTCAACAAAAATCGCAAAGAAAAGGGAAGGACAACGGCTCTCAAAGCAGAAACGCCACTCGGAAAACATTTATTAGTGCGCTATGAAAAATAGCAATAGACCCAGAGGTTGGGGTAGGCTGGAAGCCTTGGGTCGTCACTGTTGTTCAGAGGATAATGAGAATGGAAGTAACAGGGGAAGATGTTTATTCTTGAATGGCAGATCAGAAGGAGCAACACAAGACAAAGTAACCAAAATCCCAGACACAAATTAAAGGGAACCAGCTATTGAGAAGCATCATGTGTTTAGCTGTAAAATGGGGATGTTATAGGACAGAGAGCAGCCTGGAACAGTATGGACCTCACCTTGGGAAACTTGTCTGCCTTGGTAGCTAGCACTCAACACCCATCAACTTTGTTTACTGTATCACCCCAGTTTCCTAGAGTCCTAGTGAAGGACTGGGAATACACTATGCAAACACAGAAGAAAAAGATGGTCCCCAGCCTAAAGAGGTTATAATTCACAATTACACATGAAAACCTGTAACAAAACTTACATGTAATAGATACTGAGCAATTTATCAAGGTTTGTGATGGTCACTGCTCATCATTGTTGGACACAAAAAAAAAAAAAAAAAAAAAAAAAAAAAAAAAAAC